CAAACTAAACAGTTTCTGCACAGCAAAGGAAATAAAAAAACAGAATGAAGAGAGAACCCACAGACTGCAAAAATATTTGCAAATGGCCAACAGATAGATGAAGAAATGTTCAATACTTCTAATCGAGAAATGCAAATTAAAATCACAATGAGACATGCCTCTCTTCCCCTCCACCAGTCTCCTCCCATGATAATCCATTAATCCATTCATGAGCCTTCATGATCCAATCACCTCTTATGAAAAAAGATGAAAGATAACAAGTGTTTGTAAGGATGTGGAGAAAAGGAAACCCTTGTACACTGTTGGTGGTATCGTGTTAGGGACCGACCTTCCACAGCCCCACTGGACAGAAAAGCAGAGACATCGAGGATGTAATTACACAAGAGGAGTTTATTTCTGGCTAGTCAGGTCCAAGCCTAGAGCACCCAACGCATGCCACTCTTGCAGGCAAGGACCCTGACTGGGGTTGCAGCGTGCCTTTTATCCCTATGTGGCATACCTATGCAGTGGCTCTCACGCGTGGATCATGCATTGACCTTTAACATGATTGGTTGGCTGGTAGCCCCACTATACAGGGGTTCAAACAATGCAAAGTTGGCGCAAACAAGCAAGCAAGCAACGGTTTCCATGGCAAGCAAGCAACAGTTTCCAGAAGCCAGATGTTGGTTCCGCTGGGGGGTGGGGCCTTGCAGGTATGCAATGTCTCAACCCCTCACAATCGTAAACTAGTACAGCCGCTTTGGAAAACAAGTATGCAAGTGCCTCAAAAAAACTAAAAATAGAATTACCATGTGATTCAGGAATCCCACTTCTGGGTACACACCTAAAGGAAAGGAAAACCAGTATTTCAAAGGGAAACTGGCACCCCCATGTTTATTGCAGCATTATTCACAACAGCCAAGATATGGAATCAATCTAAATGTCCATCAATGGAAGAATAGATAAAGAGAACCTGGTACAACAGGGCATTGAATGACATTGTTTTGTTCAATGTCATTTTGTTATAACATTGATAAGAAAAAAAATTGACTCCTGGCAGAGACCACTGTCTGTGTGGAGTTTGCATGTTCTCCCCATGTCTGTGTGGGTTTTCTCCAGGTACTTCGTTTCCTCCCACATCCCAGAGATGTGCATGTTAGGAGAACTGGTGTGTCTATGTTGTCCCAGTGTGGACGAATGTCGAGATGTGTGTGAGTGCACCCTGAGATGGAAGGGTCTCCCGTAAAGGGCTGGTTCTTACCTTGTGCCCTGAGCTGTTGGAATAGGTTTAGGCCACCATGGCCCTGAATGGGAATAAGCAGGTAAATTATTACCTTATTTGGCTTTATTAATTTTTTTAAATGTATGTATAGCTCACATTTATTTCAATGTTTAATATTAGAAGTGTTTTGGGTCTTTTTTCAGAAGTTTGGTGATTTTTTTTTTTTTTGGAGACAGAGTCTCACTTTGTTGCCCAGGCTCACTTTGTCAGCCTCGCTCACAGCAACCTCAAACTCCTGGCTCAAGCGATCCTCGCCCAGCCTCCCAAGTAGCTGGGACTACAGGCGTGCCCACCATGCCCGGCTCATTTTTTCTATATATATTAGTTGGCCAATTAATTTTTTCTATTTATAGTAGAGACGGGTCTCGCTCTTGCTCAGGCTGGTTTCGAACCTCCTGACCTTGAGCAATCCACCCCGCCTCGGCTCCAGAGGATAGGATAGCAGGTGTGAGGCCACCCCGGCCCGGCCCGATTTTTGTTTTATGACCAGAATTATGCCATAGGAACTTAACTCCTGTTTATATCAATTAATCTAATCAATCTAATCTGGTAAATTGGTTTTGTTATGCATCATTTCCTTAAAGTCATAGTTTCCAAAACCTATTGATGACATCAAGTGAGGACTTACTATACATATACACAATGAAATACTATTCAACCTTTAAAAAGCAGGAAATTTTGTCATTTGCAACAACATAGATGAACATAGAGTATGTTATGCTTAGTGAAATAAGCCAGGCACAGAGAGACAAATACCATATGATCTCACTTACATGTGAAATCTAAAAAATGTCAACTCATAGGCTTGGCGCAGAGGCTCACACATGTAGTCCTAGCACTCTGGGAGGCCAAGGTGGGAGGATCCCTTGAGACCAGGAGTTCAAGACCAGCCTCAGCAAGAGCGAGACCCCATCTCTACTAAAAATAATAGAAATAAATTAGCTCGACAACTAAAAATATATAGAAAAAAAATTAGCCAGGCATGGTGGTGCATGCCTGTAATCGCAGCTACTCAGGAGGCTGAGGCAGGAGGATCGCTTGATCCCAGGAGTTTGAGGTTGTTGTAAGCTAGGTTGATGCCACGGCACTCTAGCCCGGGCAAAAGAGTGAGACTCTGTCTCAAAAAAAAAAAAAGAAAGAAAGAAAAGAAAATGTGGTATATATCTACCTGGAGTACTACTCAGCCATATTTTATTTTGGAATGAAATGATGTCATTTGCAGCAACATGGAGGGAACTGGAGACGATTATCCTAAGTGAAGTGCCTCGGGAACGGAAAAGCAAATACCATATGTTCTCACTAATAAATGGGAGCTAATAGATGGGTACACATGGGCACAAAGCAACATAAAGGACATGAGAAACCAAGAAAGGTGGAAGGTGGGACAAAAACTTACCTACTGGGGACTATAGACACTATTCTGGTGATGGGCACACCAAAAGCCCCGACTTAAGCATTATACAAGATATCTGTGTAACAAAAACACTTATACCCCCTTAATTAATATTTTGAAATAAAAAAAAGAAAGTGAAAATACAAGGCACAGGAGAGGAAAAAATATTTACAAATTATATATCTGATAAGGGACTTGTATTCCAACTGCATAAAAAGAACTCTCATAACTCAACAACAAAAAGACAAATAAGATCAGGCACAGTGGCTTATGCCTATAATCCTACACTTTGGGAGGTCAAAGCAGGAGGATTGCTTGAAGCCAGGAGTTCAAGATTAGCTTGGGCAACATAGTGAGACCCCATCTTTACAAAAATAAAAAAATTAGGCCGGGCGCAATGGCCCACGCCTGTAATCTTAGCACTCTGGGAGGCTGAGGTGGGAGAATTGCTTGAGCTCAGGAGTTCAAGACCAGCCTGAGCAAGAGCAAGAACGCCGTCTCTACCATAAATAGAAAGAAATTAGCGAAAACAACTAAAAATAGAAAAAATTAGCCGGGCACAGTGGCAAATGCCTATAGTCCCAGCTACCCGGGAGGCTGAGGCAGGAGGATTGCTTTAGCCTAGGCGTTTGAGGTTTCTGTAAGCTAGGTAGATGCCACAGCACTCTAGCGTAGGCAAGAGAGTAAGACTCTGTCTCAAAAAAAAAAAAAAAAATTAGGCAGGCATGGTGGCAAATGCCTATAGTCCCAGCTACTCAGGAGGCTGAGGCAGGAGGATCACTTGAGCCCAGGAGTTTCAGGTTGCTGTGAGCTATGATCACACCACTGCACTCCAGCATGGGTGACATAGTGAGACCCTGTTTCAAAAAAAATAAAAGAAAAAAAGAATAACCCAGTTTTAAAATATTCAAAACATTTGAATAGATGTTTCTTTAAAGAAGATATACAAATGGCCAATAGGCACAGGAAATGATCATTAGTTGTTAGGGAAATACTAATCAAAGCCACAATGAGATATCACTTTATACCCACTAGGATGGGTATAATCAAAAAGAAATATAACAAGTGATGGCAAGGAAGTGGAAAAACTAGAACCCTCATACATTGCTGGTAAGAATGTCAAATTATGCAGCTGCTGTGGAAAAAAATTGGTGGTTCCTCAAGAAGTTAAACATAGAATTAATCATATCACCATGTAATTCTACTATTAGCTATATATCCAAGAAAATGGAAAGATATATCCATATAAACACACATGAATGTCTATAGCAACATTATTCATAACAGCCAAAAAGTGAAAACAACCAAATGTTTATCAATTGATGACTAGATAAACAGAATTCCACACAATAGAATATTATTCAGCCATAAAAGGTGGTATATTATTCAGCATAAAGTACTATAAATAATATATGCTACAATCTCTGGTATAGGTGAACCTTGAAACATAACAAACATGGAGGAACCTTGAAAACATTATGCTAAGTGGAAAATGTCAGACACCAAAGGCCATATATTGTATGCTCTAATTTATATGAAATATTCAAAATAGGCAAATATGTAGAGACAGAGAGTAGATTATTGGATGCCTGGGGGTTTAGTGGGGGTAAGGAAGTTGGCATGCATGGATGGGGAGAGATTGCTAATGGGTACGGGGTGTCTTTTGGGAGTGATGAAAATGTTCTGAAATTAGATAGTGGTGATGGTTGCACAACTCTGTGAACATTCTTAAAACCACGGAATCTTATATGTTAAAAGGTGAATTTTATGGTGTGTTAATTATATCTCATGATATATCTCATGACCCATGTGGTTCAAAGGTCAACTGTGTGTTTGTATACATATTTTGGTAGCATATTATACACTTGTTTTTATTGTGCTTTTCACGCATCTGTATACTTGGACACACCTCCATAACAGTAAATATCTGTCACATGCCTTTATTTTCTTTTCTTTTCTTTTCTTTTCTTTCTTCGCTTTTCTGGCATATTTGGCTATCTTTTTTTTTTTTTTTTTTTAAGTAGGCAGTTAACTTGGCTGAACTCAGACTGCAGACTGCCTCCCCTGAGGTAGGCGGCAGCTGCAGAATCAGTTCGGTTTCTTCGGCTCTAGCTGGAGTCGCCCTGCACACAAGTGTTCTGCTGGAGATCTGGGCAGAGTTTATACCCAGAATTGGGGCTCCCTTTCTCTGGCCCTCTGCTTTCCAGGCTTCCGCTCCCTCACCACGTTTGTGCACACGCTGCCCTCCGGGACTGCAAGCCAGTAAGACCAGGTTTTCTAGAACAGTGTAAGCCACCTTCGCCCCTTGGCACAGACTGGCCCTGCCCTCAAAAGTGGGACACTCACCCAGTATCGTCCCTTCCTTCCAAGTGGTGACATCCATTTAGCACCTGCCTGTTTATGTTCACTCCCCAGTGTGTTCAGGTAGTTTGTTTTTACACTTTGTAGAGTTTATAGTTGTTATCTGCACAGGGCTGAGCAGGGGGGAGTCACTCAGCATGACTGGGAGCGGAATTTTGCCTCATTCTCTGTAACTGCCACATTTCGCCTTCAGCACAAGCCTGCAACTCGGGCCCCCTGGGCCCATGGGACCCCAGACTATGTGAGGATTTGGGGATGGAATTGTGTTTTTGGATCTTTTTTGCGTGTGCTGGCAAATAAAATGCTTTCAGTGTGACCTTGGAAAGGTCACTTAATCTCAGTTCTCATTTATAAATTTGAATAACAATGATACTCTCCGTGCTGAGTTGTCCAGAAGTTCGATGAAATGGCACAACAATGGCCAATGTTTGCGTGGCACTTACACCATACAGGCACTGCTGCCCGGTGCTTTAATCCTTGCAACAGCCTATGGGCGAGGTACTATTAGTATCGGCTCCATTTGACAGTGAGGACACTGGGGCAGTGAGCTTACGTGACCCGCTCAGTAGCCTTCAAGGAGTGCATAGCAGAGCTGGGATTTGAACCGAAGCTACGCTGTGCCTACATCTGTGCACTAGACCAGGTGCAACCTAGAATGTGGTGGTTCCTAATCCTGGCTGCGTGTCAGAATCACCTGGGCATCCTGCAAAGACCTGCTGAATCCGAACCCCCAGCCTCTGTATTTGGAGAAAGCTCCGTGCCTCGGCACAGAGTCAGTGCCGAAATACGGGAGTTCCCTTCCCCTTCCGATCTCCCTTTTCCCACTCACTGGGGAGCATTGCTGCTTCCCACCCCCACTGGGCCCTCAACGGAGTCACAGGCCTAGATTGTTAGGGTTACCTCTGGCCCATTCCTGATAGATCTGTCACCAGCCTGCTTGACAGGTGGAACAGGCTCCAGGAGCTGCAGGAAGGAGCAGCTGTTCCTTGGATCACCTTTCCCCACCTGTCTGAAGCTGTATCCCTGCTCACGTGACCACTCATGGCAAAGATGCCATGAGCCATGGTCTATGTGTCACCCAGCCTCTGCCTTCTAAATAAACCACACCTGGTAACGCCACGCTATGCTGAGCCCCTGCAAGTTCCTGGAACCTCCCAGGATGCGCCTGAAGGTAATTACAGCTCAGTTGTAACTTGAAGGTCTTAGGAACCCATGATACCAGCTGTCCTCAGAGTATCCTGAACATCAAAATAGGAATGTTCTGCGTTCCCATACCCCTCTAGAACATTCCCTTCTCGAATATATTAATAAATGTGTTCATACGGCTTCCATGGTCCTACACAATCTGACCCTGCTCCTCTCTCAGGCCCAAGCCCTATCACTCCCCGCCATTAACCCACACTTCAGCCACATCAGCCTTTGGCTGTCCCTCAAGCATACCTCAGTGCCTTTGCACTTGCTGTTCACTCCACCTGGAAAGTTCTTCCCCTAGAACTTCGCATGGCTGATTCTTTCATTGTCATTCAAATGCCAACTCAAATGTCATCTCTTCAGAGAGGCCTTTTCTGATCACGCGATATTAAGCAACCCTCACCCGCTGCCCTCATCACTATCTTAGTGTCTTCCTAGTACTTAGCACATTCAGGTAAATCATGACCTTTCTTGTTTCTATTAATCTTTCTTAAATATATGTGTAGCTTGCATTGATTTCAATGTTCAATAGTAGAAGTGTATTGGATCTTTATTTGGAAGTTTGGAGATTTTTTTTTTTTTGACCAGAATTATGCCATAGGAACTTAATTCCTGTTTATATCGATTAGCCTAATTAGCCTATGGTAAATTGGTTTTGTTATATGTCGTTTCACTTAAAATGGCAGTTTCCGATAAGCTATCCATGATGTTAAGTGAGGACTTACTGTGGCTGAGATGGGCACAGGTGCGGCAGACGCCACCAGGAGCACCTAACAGGGAGAACCAACTCACCCACTGGGTTCGAACCCTGGCTCCACCACCAGCTGGGGACTCGGACTCATCACTGGGGTGTACAACCTGGAGCTTCCCTCCATGGGGCTCGGTTTTCCTCCTCTGTGAAACCGGAAGAAGAATGAGACCTCCCTCACAGGGTCCCTATAAGGACGGATGATAGAGTCACAGCATGGGACCTATAGGACCAGCAAGCTGGCGTTGGGGAGAGGAGGAGGAGGCGCATGTTTGTGGTGAGCATGACACGTCGTGCAAAGGCTTCCCCGTGGCACTCCCCGGAGGGAGGTTCGGGAGTCTGGGGGAGATTCCAAGCCACTGCTCTGCCTTAATCTACCACGCTCATCGCTGCTGGAGAAGCTGCCAGAACCACTTATCAAGAGTCACCTTGGGGCTCCACAAATAATTACCCAACCCCTGCCAGGCGCCTTAGGGAAGACAGATGAGGCAGACAAGGTCTGCACCCACTGGGAAGTTGATGTCGAAGCACAGACAAGATGAAAACAAAGACAACAGAGGATGCGCTGGCGCAAGGTGGTCTGTTGTCAAGGTGCTACCCGGGGGCGAGGGAGTCCCTTCCCATGGGCATCCTCATGGGACACGTCGGCCACTCTCTCCAATGGGGGCAGCAAAGTGGAATCAGTGGTTAAGAGACGGCGCTTCCCAGCCAGACACACCTTGTTCAAAATGATGGCTCCTGTGTGACCTCAAGCATGTGACCTCACCTCTCTGAACTTCGGTGCCCCACATACACGATCGGGATAACATGGGGACCTATTCACGGGGCTGTGGGGAGGATTTAAGGAGTGAATGTGATAGAAGTACTTGGCACAGGGTGTGGTGAATAGAAAAATGCATGGTAAACACAAGCAGTTGTCCTGTTGTTCTTATGTTTATCCAAGTTAGAAGCACTTCAAAGAAACATCCCTAGAGCTTGCCACTTGAATTTATTTCCCAAACAACACTTATGTGGCACAGGCATTAAAGTGCCTTAACAACCCTATGAGGAAGGTAAATTTTTTTGTCCTTGTTAAATATCATTTCTTAAACAGATAACATAAAATTTATCATCTTAACTATTTTTAAGTGTACAGTTCAATAGTGTTAAGTATATTCACTGTGTTTTACAACAGATCTCCAGAATTTTTTCTTCTTGCAAAACTGAAATTCTGTATCCATTGAACAACACTTGCCCATTTTCTTTCCCCTAGGCCCCCACCCCCAGACCCTAGTAACTGCCATTCTACTTTCTGTTTTTAGGAAGGGACTATTTTAACCCTGTTTTACAAATCAAGAAACCAGAACCCGCCACATAATTTGCAGGAATCAGAGCAAAATGAAAATGCAGAGCCCATGTTCAAAATTTATGAAAAATATCAAGACGGTGACAACAGAGCATTAAAGGAAGCCCAGAGCTCTTCTGAGTGTGGTCCCATAAAGCGCATGAAGCAGGCCCTGGAGGAAACCAAGAGTTAGAGAAGTTAAGGAACATTCCCAAGGTCAACACAGTTAAGTGATGGATCCAGGATTCAATCCCAACTTCTAAAATTATATGACCTCCCTTACTTATTGCAAACTCTCTGCTGGTAGGGTTCGATCACTGCCGGTTGCCTGGCATCCCTGCATAGCGCCCAGTACACATTGGCACTCATTGCATGGTTCATATTTGGAGGGTGAATGAATAGGTTGCATGTACCCAATAGAGAAGAGGCTTCTCTGGGGTTCTTTGCTTTGCCTCAGCTCTGGCACAAGAAACATTCCCATTTCTGCTCCTCCTTCATGTTTACCTAGAGCCCTTGAACTGCTAGGAAAAACTAGCAAGCATGGCATGTGTCCATATATAATGCCCACGCGCCGGATGCTTTTATGAGGCCCCACCTCTCCCCTGCATTCCTAGTCTTTGAGTCCCACTGTTATGGGGTGGAGTGAAGCTAGGAGACACTGGGTAGTATGAGGTCACTGGTGGCATGTCTGGCTCCAGGCTTCCAGGTCTCCCAGAGCCTGATGGCCAAGTCTTCTCTCTGATGTCAACACACACAAAAAAAAACTAAAACCAAATTTTTAAAGTATAAGCAAAAAACGAGTTTATTTACAGTTGTGGCATCAAGTGCAAAAACAGCAGTGTACTCACTGCCATAACTGTCAATTACTAGATTAGTTTTAAAAAAAAAATTTTTTTTTGAGACAAGAGTCTCGCTCCATCGTCTCAGGTAAGTGAAGTGGTATCATCATAGCTCACTGCAACATCGAACTCCTGGGCTCAAGCGACTCTCCTGCCTCAGCCTCCCAGGTAGCTGGGACTACAGTTGCGCACCACCATGCCTAGCTAATTTTTTCTATTTTTTGTACAGACGGGGGTCTCGCTCTTGCTCAAGCTGGTCTCAAACCCCTGAGCTCAAGCAATCCTCCCTCCTCGGCCTCCCAGAGTGCTAGGATTATAGGCATGAGCCACCGTGCCCAGCTGGTAAGTGTGAAATTATATCAAAATAAAATTTTTTTAAAAAAAGACAATACTCTAATCTGAAAAGCCTTTATGATTCCAACTATTAATATTATACAATTTCAACTATATAACATTCTGGAAAAGTCAAAACTACAGAGACAGTAAAAAGATCAGTGGTTGCTAGGCGTTTGGGGTTGGGGAGGAAAGGAGGAATGAATAGGTCAAGCACAGGGGAATTTTAGGGCTGCAATTGTAGATATATGTCACCCTACATTTGTCACAGCCCATAGGCTGTACAACACAAAGAGTGAGCCCTAATGTAAACTATGGACTTTAGTTAATAATGTATCAAAATTGGCTCATCAATTGTAACGAACAGGACATTAATGCAAAATGTAAGTAATAGTGGAAACTGGCCCATGTGGTTGTTAACGCCTGTCATCTTAGCACTCTGGGAGGCTGAGACCAGCCTGAGCAACAGCGAGACTCCGTCTCTACTAAAAACAGAAAGAAAAAAAATTAACAATAGTAGAAACTGTATGGGGGGAGGAATATATGGGAACTGTACTTTCCACTCAATTTTTCTGTAAACCTAAAACTGCTCTAAAAGTTAAAGCTTATTTGTTTTTAAAAATGAACAACATAAAGAGAGTGACAGAAAATCAAGAGTGTTGGAGAAAATATTTGCAACATGTACAATTGCTAAAGA